AATTATTTGTTCATGGGAGATTATGTTGATCGTGGATACTATTCAGTTGAAACAGTAACGGTGAGTTTCAAATTTTCTTATCTTGATAATAATCTCACTTCTGATGAAAGATCTCTAATGGGACAAATGACACTCTAATAAACTGATTAACATTACTATTGCACATGACTGTGTACTTTCTTCACCTGCCTTTTGAGTTGAAGTGGCTTATAGGATTTGGGGTACGGAAAATGTCTGTTTGAATTAATTAACGCACCAAAAAAGTTCCTAATGGAAAAGAAATTACCAATGCTGTAATTTGTACAATATGCAAACATTGGATCTGATGAAGGAAAACATGTATCCTGAGAAGCAGCATATAAACTGACTACCCTATTCAGAAGATCAACATGGAAGTCAGAAGCCAAAATTTTATATTTCTGTGCTCGAATTATGATATGATAACTCGTACTTGTCTCCCAATTCAATTGTCAATAATAAAGAAATAAAATTTTTATTATCATCTCTACTTGCATTTGTATTCCGACATCTGTCTATTTTGAATATTAAGTACAGAATAATTAACATTCTTCTACCCTGGAAGATTCTTTATAGAAAACAACAAAAATAATTTGCCAATAACAAACTATCAGAATACAACGAGATAGTGGAGTGATTATCTGTTGAAAGTTCATGTACATAAAATTGGTTGTCATGGGTGAATGTGGACAGGTTTCAGTATTGGAAGACCTTACAAAACTCCCAGGACTTCAATAGTTGTTTGATTCTTTTGCATGCGCTATACTTTTCAGCTCTTGGTCGCTCTCAAAGTACGATATCCTCTAAGGATTACGATTTTACGGGGAAATCATGAAAGCCATCAGGTACACTTCTATGGCTGCATTTCTTGGTCACATTCTTTCTCCTTCCTGATAGTCCTAAATGTGCTTCCTTTTGACTGCCACAGAATATGCTTCAATGACTTGAAAACTGAAATCACTGTGTAAAATAATAATCTTATAAATTGTTCATACTATCTATAGTTATTTATCATCACAAGTCAAATATTGTGGAATGATTGTTCGCCTCTTCACAATTTTATTATTATTATTATTATTATTTTACGTATATTGCCATTGAAGTCCTTTTACCACTCAACCATAGTTTTTTGCATTTTGCTTCAGGTTTGATGGTAAGTGCTGAAAGTTCCGTTTTGTTACCTGCAGATTACTCAAGTTTACGGATTTTATGATGAATGCCTGAGAAAGTGAGTTTGTTCTCCTTTTTTGGCTGAATTTCCAATGTGACAACGGTTTTATATACATCATTGAAATTTTGCTCTCATTCTACCCACTAAGATTCATTATTCTGAGTTTACATGTTTTTATGCTTTCAGTTCTAAAAAGGAAAAAAAGGGATAAATTACATGTGCACGAAGTTCAATCAACTTACTGTTTATCTTGAAAGAAGAAAAAGTACAAGCTTGAGAGTTGTTTGCTTCTTTGAAACCTTAGAGATGCATTTATTAGTTATTCCCACTATTAATTTTGCCTTTATTTGGAAAGAATGAATAAACGATTTAATTTATAAATAGATAGAAATGAGTGGTGGATGTTGCTTGTGGGTCTATTGGAATGTGGGGTTGAAAATGAAGTTTGATAATTTATAAATTGTTTTATAAAGCCCTTGTTTAATTTCCATTATTTTCAAAATATATTTTTTTTTTTTTCAACCACACATTCTTTAATAAAATAATATTACACGCAAATCCAAATTTTTTTCTTTTTTTAAACCATATATTCTCCATCAATTTACTATTTCAAAATGCATTATTTGCCAAAATGGGGTTCAAACAGGCACAAAGTTTGCTGGACACGGGTTTATCTTTTTTGATACATGTAAATTTGTCCCAGGTATGCTTGTGTGTTTAAGCTTTACATACTTGAACATCTAATTATTCGACACCGACAATATGGATTGACTGTTTAATATCTTATTTTTCTTCTCCGGGCTGCACTTTGTATTCCTGAGCAATACTTCGACAAACTTTGGTATAATGCGCTTCTTATTGGGGCATTATTGTGCAATTTTTTGCGGAAAATGATGTTTGGCAAACTGTTTCTTAGCTTTATACTTGCTTCTCATATGTAAGGTACATGTATGGTTCTTCAATTTTTTTGTTTCTTTACAGTGCACGTCTATTTTAGTAGAAATATAGAGTTGTTTGATAATTAATACCCAGTGAGTTATACCCTTTCAGTCTTCATGCATTTTAATGGAAGCCGTAATTCTCTGTCCCATTACTTTTCTCTTTTTCATTTTCTTGGTGAGTTGGCACACACCCAGGCATTTAGTTATGTAAGATGACTAATTTGTGTCGATCTTCTTGCATTGTGCAGGTATGGTAACGCCAATGTGTGGAAGATCTTTACAGACTTATTTGATTATCTTCCTCTTACGGCATTGGTTAGTACATTTACTTTAATGGTGTAATATCTACGGATACGGTGTTTAAGATGTTATCTGAAATAATCTGCCAATTATTGTGTTTAAATTGTTATCTGAAACACTTCTTAAACAATATGGGAAGAACGATAATTATCACATTTTCTAATATTAACCAAAGACGGCATTAAATTTCGTTGTGACATAAAACAGTTTCTTCCTTGAAAATGTTCTTTTGGGAGCATAAATTTTTAGTTCATTGTACAATTGTTGGAGTGAAATTAAATTTTTTTTTTTAAATTAAAGCATGCTATCACTTGTCATGTTTTTGAATTCTGATTCTGCGAGCCCACTTTATCTGGAATTGGGGGTGCGCAGCCGTCACAGCCAGGTCAAAATTTGGAGGCTTGACTCGAGCTTCACCGAGTAGAGCTGGCTCACAAATCTTTTAATTTAAAAATTTTTTCTTTTGAAATTCATATAAAGAAGTTAAACGAGTTCTTCTTCTCCACTAAAAATACAATAAAAAAATTCATATAGATACGAGAATATATGAATTAGAATACAATTTTCAGGTGTATAAATATCCTGATGTTCACTTGTAGAATTAAAAATATTGGAATAGAAAATATATTTTGAATTTCAACATCACAAGATAACAAATAAAATATTATTTTAACTCCTATATAAAAAAAATTTGAAATTTTTATTAATAAAATATCTAACTATGATAATAAATTATAAATATAGATACTTGTAGCATAATTATGAATATTAATTATGTAAGCATATTTATAGATATGTTATATAAATATAAATTGAAGATTGGCAACAAGTCGAGCGAGCCTGTGACATGGGCCATTTTCACGAGCAAACCCAGTGCGGCTTGAGCCAAGTCCCGAAATTTGGACTTGGCCCAAGCCTTGGCTTGGTTCGATTGAGTCGGCTTAAGCTTTTTCCAGGCCTATCCGCTGGCCGCCTATTCGACTGGTTCACCATCCCTATCTAGAATCTCAAAACACCTCGAAATACATGGGTAGTGTATTTTTTAGCATTGTGTCAGCTTTTTTGGTCTCTTAGGCATGTCATTCTTTTGTTGATTTAGTACACTTGTCATTTTTTTTTTTAAATATCTCCAGGTAGAGTCGGAAATTTTTTGTCTGCATGGTGGATTGTCACCAGCTGTTGAAACTCTCGATAATATACGCAATTTTGACCGTGTGCAAGAAGTTCCTCATGAGGGGCCCATGTGTGATCTTTTATGGTCTGATCCAGATGATCGATGTGGCTGGGGTATCTCGCCTAGGGGTGCTGGATATACATTTGGCCAAGTATTTTCAACTGCTTTACTCTTCGTTATCATTATATTTTTACTAGTGCTGGAGAATTATTTATCTCCTTTTCCACTTGAATTCAACAGGACATATCCGAGCAGTTTAACCATACAAACAATTTGAAGCTTATTGCTAGAGCACACCAGCTGGTTATGGAGGGATTCAACTGGGGTCATGTAATTTGTCATCTGAACATCTAACTGCTATTTCACGTGTTTTTAGTTCACAAGACTAGATTTTCTTATAGTTGTGCATTGCTTGTTCAGGACCAAAAGGTTGTTACCATATTTAGTGCTCCCAACTATTGTTACCGGTGTGGGAACATGGCATCTATCTTGGAAGTTGATGACTGCAAAGGGCACACATTCATTCAGGTCTCTCTTGCCCTTTCTCTCTACACACACACACACACACACACACACACATGCATGTATTATGTATGTGCATATTATATGAGTGCATGAGTGCCTCCCTATCAAGGTGTGCAGTATTTGTTCCATAGATATTGAGGTAGTTATTTACTACTGCAGTTTGATTCAGCTCCTAGAAGGGGTGAGCCAGATGTAACTCGAAGGACGCCAGATTACTTTCTTTAACGAGACTGTAGAATGTCATTTCCCGTGTTCTCCAATTGCATAAAAATTTGAAAATTATAAATATTTATATTGATGATGGGGATGACCGAAAGCGTGCAAAGAGGAAGTTTGTTCACTCGTCGGCTAGGATTCTGGTCATCTTTTTTGTTCTTTATTGCAGGATAATATCTCAGGTTTTTATTTGTTTCCATACTTTTTGCCCCATTGTTTTAGGACAAATAGCATGGATTGGGGTTTTGTAGAGAAGAAGAATACTGTCATTTCTCTCTTTTTTTATAACGACTGCTTTTATAATACTCACATTTCACTGTTGCTGAACTGACTTACTTTTAATCTTCTTGCTGGTACATCTTGAATTGCGTTTGGTTAAGTTGATAATAATTTGTGAAAAAAGTGTCGTGAAATTTTTTTGCTCACAAAATTATTAACCAACGAAGTCATGACTTATGTAATCGACTTAAAATTATTGACAATAAGGCTGTCGACTTTTAAGTTATGTCAAATATCGCTTGGTTTGTCGACGAGCATTTAGTCACATAAAGAAAGTTCACCTTTCTGGCATCTTAGATACAATTAGAATTTTGTTAAAATTGCATTTATCTATATTGGACATGCCCATTGCCTGGGGTCGTCGATTTTGTGAAACTGATTAAAGAGATTCTTTATTGTGACTTTACACCGAAAATAATTACAAGTTGCAATAATTTTATACATATTTTGTATTGAGCTTAAACCAGAGTGGATGCTGTAGAGCTCTGGTATAAGCTACTGGTAATGTCACGAGTTTCTTAGTCCTCCCAACGTATGCTCTCTTTGTTAAATTATCATAGTCATTCTTCTCAATGGCATCCAGGATCATCCTATACAACATCAAGGATGACCACACCTGAAAATTACAAGAACATTAGCATTAATTAGTCGAATCTCAATCACCAGAGAACAAAATTGTGAGTAAAATCACATTGTTATTGTGGATTTGTATGCATATTTTCACTACGAATAAGAAACCTAAGTTTATCACTCTAAATTTGGCCTCATAAATAATCCTTCATACATGTAGGAATATTAGAATGACTCGTACAAATCTACATCTAAAATTTCATGAAGATCGATCCATAGTCGAGGAGATAAGTATATACTATGATTGTACTTCATAGAGTCTAATGTATGTGCATGTAGATATAGTGTATCATTAATCACATGGTATATAGTATTAGAGCTGGTATGAGATTTGGATCGTCCAAGACATATCAGCATGGCATAATTATCGATTTGAAATCAAATGCCTACTCATGAGGATACATAGAGTGATTTTTGTGAGATCTAATATAGATATAGATCCAACTTTTGATTTACTAATAGGATCGGACCGTCAAGTTCATGACTAACGATTCACATGAATTACCTTACCATTTCTTGTTACAAGTGAACTAGAAATCATATAGTGTCAGTTTTCTTATGTTACTACAATTGTTTCTATTTTTTTTGAGATTGTTACTGATTCTGGTTGTCGTGAGATTTGTGGCCACTTTTCTCTAAGAAAGATGGAATTCACACTCTTCTCACAATGAACTTGAATTGAAATTAATGTGCATGTAACGAAACATTACCGGCCATCGGCTAGCCTTGTCGAGTTGAGAAGCTCCTTTTTCAGCCTGGTTGAAATAGACCCTTGCCCTAGTAATCTGCTCTTTCATGAATTCTCTCCAACCATCTGTCACCTTTCTCGAGAAGATGTCCTTTTCGCTCAATCCATATTTCGCAAGCTCATCTTGTGGAAGATAAACCCTCCCTCTCAATGCACTGCAAGAACACAAAACATGACAAGAGATAAGACTAATGTCATAGAGTTGACTACATGAAGCATTTTGACATGGACGCTCACTCTTCTCCAACATCTCTAAGAATGTTCGTTAGTTGATTGCCGATGCCTAGATAGAGTGCTGCATTATAAATGCTTTGAGTAGAAAGGGACGATTCTGGTGCAATTCCCATTATTGGAACACTCATTAGGCCAACTGTTCCTGCCACATAGTAGCAGTACTGATAGAGTTCCTCGAAATTCGCGTATCGATTTTTCCTTGTATCCATTCTCATACCCTCAATCATGTCCTTAAAGGGCTGTTAATAAAACGTTTGATTAGTACTTGAAATTCATGAAAAACAAGGTTGATTAATCTTGTTTTACCTACCTTTATGTCTAATGGGAACTTGTACAAGGTATCCGTGAGTGCAGCATCAAGCATGTCATAGGGACGTCCCTCGAATATGTCTTCGAGTCTCTCGTCCCACCTATCAAGAACAGAAGAATTCATATAGCCTGCGTTCGGGCCATCAACCAATTCATCAGTCCTCCTGCACCAGACTGCAGAGAAGCATTTCTATTGAACTGTGCAAGAAAAAGTTGAGCAAAAACAAAGTAACGAGTTAATAATTCGCTTACCGTAAATAGCCCATATTGCTTTTCTTCTCTCTTCTGTCATCAAAAGTGTTCCTGCATCATAAGCAACTTATAAGTTTTATCAAACTAGTTAAGTAGAAATTCAAATGATTTCTAGGGTCTGCGCCCCACCCCTACACCTCCACAAAGAAAAACTAAAGCAAAAAGTAGGGATTCGAAGATGAACCTAAGTAGAAAGTTTTTGCATATTCTTCACATATGTTCTTGCATTGATCATATGCTTCCTCAAGAAACATAGGATGGAAATCTGGTTTCCTACAAACATCATGTGTAGCCAAACCATTAGATTGTGATTGTCTTCGGGCAATTTCAAGTACAATTTTATCAGTTCCTCGAATTGATAACTTTGGATGGGAAGACTCATTGTTTCTCTTAGGAACAGCAATAGCCATTTCAGCTCTTGCAGTTGTTCTTCTAATTCTATGAATCAAGAATTTTCCATCACCTGATCCCATGCAAGGCTTACAAACATATGAAAATGCTGCAAACATTTTTTTCAACTGAAAAATGCAAATTTATGCTAAGTAATGGCCTTAAGGGTTACTACACAAAACTGGGTGAGAATTGTGTATTGCACCCAACCTTTCTCCCTCTCTATCTTGGGGAGTTATTATGTATGAGGAGCTTAGGCTGAATGGCAGGCTTGTTGCACTTATATTGGACATTCACGTCATTCCTAATAAAGGAATTTGTGGTTGGAGACGGTTTCTATAGATAGAAGACAAAGAGATATGAGAAAACCTTGTAATATACTAAACAAAATATGTAGCAGTTAGCAGACATAATTTTCACATTGAAAATGAACCATTATGAATCCATGAGCAACAAGTGTATGTAATTTTGTTTTTCATTCATTTACTATTGCTCATGGAATTGATATTTGGGATTAATCCCTAATATAAAGACAAATAACCAACTCGGCTCCAAAAAAAAGTATAGAATATTAAATCATCTTGGCATTTTAAAAATTATATAGTTAAAGATGAGATGACTTCAACAAAGTTCGTATTCATTTTTTCGAAAAAGCTTAACACGTGGAATCTGTACATATGTTAAATGACAGCAGTTTCGAATTTTGTGATACAGTTTATGTGCCGATAAAGGATTTTTATCTTCAAAACCACTTGGAAGGGAAAGTGCAAGAGAAATGATCAAATTTTCCGATGCATAAAAGGAAAAAGTTGTTTGAATAGAAAAATAGTTTATTTCTTATCTTAATAAATTTATTTATTTAAAAGATATTTTACACCAGAAATCACTTCGAGAAGAAAAAATAACTTAACTTAAAAGTATGAATTACATATAAAAATGTGATGACAAGAATAAACCAATACATTGGATTAATCGGACAGCATAACAATCCAAAAGATGCTTATTTGTCTTATTTATAAAACTTATCCAAAACATTGTTTCTTAAAATTGTCTTCTTATACAACTCAACTGAGGATCTAAACCATATTTGATACCCTTATAAACCCTTCAACTTCTATGTTTTGTCCTTTAATTAATGGTATCTTGTTAAGGGATTTAAATTTAAAGTCACAAAAAGACAGCAAAAGAGTTATTTTCGGTGATAATAATTAGATTAACATAGGAGTAACAATGTTGTTGATGTCCTATGAGCTTTCCTCAATTATAATACTTTTTGACCTTCTTGTGTTTACATGATCGAGAACAATTAACTATAATTAATTTTAAAAAAAAGGTTGAACCCCAATCTTGAGGGCTCCTACCGCCCCGCCCCTAAAGTTTTGTGAGGGAGATAAATCGCGAGATGTGTCTCATCAAGCCAGGGAACAAGAGCTGCATATACACTGTGCCTACAAGGAGTCCAATTTCATGTTTCAGGAATCGAACCCCCACACTACGACTACTAATTATAATTAATTAATTGTTTAAGAAGTGGAGAAACATTATATACATCATTAAACAAATCATTCATGTTATAGTAGAACATACGTAGTTCAACACAACTTGAATATTAAAATAATATATAACTTATAAAGGTGTATGTACTCTTCACAATACTGATCTTTTAATATGAAATTTTAACACTCGTGAGTTGAGACTCAAGAAACTAAAAAGATCGAACGAGGAAGTGAATTTAATTAATTAAAATAAGAAAATTTTGTATTAATTATTAGATTTACATTATTGTTAGCTGTATGTGTTGATAGAACATTTGTCTAGGATAATATTATTGTTCCAAATCCCACTGCAGCGTCTGTAGTCCAACGGTTAGGATAATTGCCTTCCAAGCAATAGACCCGGGTTCGACTCCCGGCAGACGCATTTTTTCCATTTTTGGATATATTATTATTCAAAATTTCAGTTATTAAAGGGAAATTTCTTCATTACTTGTGCAATATGTTAAATTGAAGGATAATTTAGTTTAGCGCTTCAGACGAGAATTTGAAAAACACCCACCAATTAAATTTTGGTTCGAAATATTAAATTTCACAGACGAACTTTTCGGTTTCTTCATCACAATTTATTTTATTTTATTTTTTCAAGAAATCCTAGAAAAAAATTTTGAATTTTACTTTTGAATCGTTGGTGCCTCAGTAAAAGGCAAATTTTTTTAAATATGAACATCAATCGAAAAGAAAAATTAATAATGACCTCAATAGACAAATCTAAGAAGAAATCAACTAAAATATAAGTTAATTGCCACTAAAAGCAATCAAATAAGAATTAAGCAAAATGACTACATTGTTTGACACATTTCTCACAATCGAGGTGTGGGTCCCGGGTGAATAAAATAATATCGACCTCCCCATGTGAGTGAATGTGTCAACCGATGTGTCAAAATTTGTGGTCATGTAGCATGACCCATCAAATAACAAGGATATAGTTGAGCCTTGATATTGAGTTATGACCAAAGGAAGAAGGATTTTTTGTTTTTTGAGAAAACAATAGATTTACATAGTGGTAGGACAAATTTTGTTTCTTTAAAAAAAAAAAAAAAAGGTTGACCCCCAACATCGAAGGTTTTCACCACCTCGTCTCTAGAGTTTTGTGAGGGAGATAAATCGCGAGATGTATCCCAAAACAAATTTTGTTTCTTAGTTGGACATTTGGGACGCAAGCAGAAACTTGACAACAGGAGTGGACAGAAAAGGACTATTTGCACACAAAACCCATAGGCTATACGGGAAGATTGGAAGAATGGGGATCAAACTCGCACAGGAGTCACGAATTAGGGACCATTTGTGCAAACTTTCCTAAAACCATATTTTAGAACTTACAATTTGTCATGTGAAAAATAGTAAATGATCATCATCTTACAATCATCTAATTGTGATGCTCTATACTTGAAAATTTGAACATATAAATAAATAAAAATAAACTACATGTCTCATCAACTCATTGACAGAGATCAAGTTTTACGATTTTTTTTTTTTTTTGGTCTAGAATTTCAATTTTTGTGTTTAGCTTTTGTTTGGTGTATATTAAAATTAGATTTTTAGTAGATTTTGATGAAAGTTGATAAAAATGTAATTAAAATTAATCGTTGACTTTGACTTGAAATTTAACCTATACCAAACAATGAATTAAATTTGTAAGGTTTTTTTTCTAATTACGCATTTGAAAAGAGTAAGCCTATGCTTTGATACAAATTTAAATCAAAATAATATTAATTTAAGTCACATATTCATAACTATTAGTCTACTACTCGTTATTATCCAGATAGTTTGTGAATTCACTAATATTCCTCTTTAGAAATCGCTTATGAATTTACTATATGAAGGCTAAGTTAGGATAATTTTCATCTTAGAATCTTTAGACAGGTATATCATATTTAATTTTTTTAAATCAAAGAATGACATGTACAACACTATGAATTTGATCTGAAAACATTTATTTCTACAATATGGTGCTAACCCACACGAACTAAAACCTTATTAGGCGCAATTGCTACAACGTATTTGTAGAAGTTTAAATTATAAATAACATTCATTTCCTTTCGTGAAAGTGGGATAAACCACAATCTTTTGTTTAATTTCACATTTCCTTCCATTCCCCTTAGATCTAGATTTGTCAATGAATTATTAATTAAGCCCCAGTTTGTCATCCATTATTTGGGAAATTAAAGAGTTATGAATAATATTTTTTAGAGAATGTGTGGTTAAAAAATAAAGAAATTTTATTAGTATGGTGGAGAAAAATACTATAACAAACAATTTTAAATTTTAAATAAAGCCAAACAAGCACCAAGTCGCATGAAAGTTGCAAGCAATCTAATTGAATTTTGAGCGTACCTTCGGATTATCGAGTTAGATTGTACATGATAATACAACAAATAAAGTTCTAATCCAGTTTCTCTCTTAATTAACCAACATTTATCTGCGGGATGAAGCATTGGAATACATGAAGAAGATTGAACTTGTTATCAACAAACTATTGGAAATGTTAATGAAAGTATTGCACATAACCAGTGTTGACCACGGAAACCGGACCTGATACGTGACCAACAGAAAGCAACTCCATGTAGGTTCTTCCATGCGCACTTGTAACACACCGTTAGTCACTCGTGGCCTTTTCTGGTGGTGGTGGAAGCGATCGCGAGCACTCCGACGGTCAATTTAGTAAGATGATAAACCAAAGTTGAGAATTCCAATAGCGTTGATCGTCGAAATGTGGATATCACAATAATATGGGGAGGAAATAGTGTGTAAAATAGTTGGAGTCGCGTTACCTTTTCAAATGGTGCAAATGTGAGTATTTATAGTCGAAGAGGTGAAGAAAGCATAGTTATCAAACCCGGACCGGACCGGCCGGTTCGACCCAAAAATCGTCGGACCGGACCATGGTCCGGTCCGAGCTGCTTAATTTTTTAGCTATGTTGCTGAACCGCTAAAAACCCAAAGGAACCGCCGGTTTTTCACTGAACCGCTGACCCAACAACTAATAAACCGCCCGGTCCGCAAACTTCATTTAAAATCCCATTTATCCTTCTCCTTCACCGTCCTAACTCCTAAGCAGTAAGCCCTATTCCCGTTCCTGTAGAAGAGCAGCCGGCAGCATTCCTTGGAATTTCATTCCCTAAAATCCAAATCCTCAAATTTCAAGTTTTATTAGATGGGAGAAGAAGATGTAAGTTTAAATTTTATGAGTTTTTTTGTAAATTCCAGTTTTTCCCCCTCATATTATGCGCGAAAATATATCTTCAGATTGGTGATTTTTGAAAGATTTTTACCTCAACTTCAACGACCTACCTGTCTGTATGTTCTATGTTGTATACTTTACTTGATTTTTATCTGAATTTCATGCTTAAAATATATCTTAACGAAGTATGAATGAATTAATTTCAAATGAGTATTTCCCTTTATTTAGGTATCTTCAACATTTTTTTTGAACTGTTGCAAAATCGGTATTATACAATACATATTGAGGCAAAGCAGTATTTCCCCTCTCTTGGAGTACAAAACTACGTCTTCATATAGATTCCTGTAAATCAGTTTTAAAGGGGAAAAGGAACTTATTTAGCAACTAAGATAACAAAAACAGGATGCCTATGTTCTGGAGAATTTTGGGCCAATATGCTTTGTAGATTCTTATTTTTAGTATAGAATCCAACTTACAAGACAGGATGCCTATGTTCTGGACTCTTTTGGTTCACCAGTTTTAGCTATTAATTTTATTGGATAATGGAAAATATAATGATGTTAATTTTCAGCTGATTTCTTTTTGGACCAGCAAATTTTTGGTCATATGCCGTCTACCATTTGGATTGACTGCATTAGTGCCATTTATTTTAACTATGCATGATTAATATTGTTATACTTTCCTTGAGAACCACAGGCTTTCTGCCTTTATCATCACTTCTCTTTGATCATTGGCTAGTATTTTGTTGAATCATGCTACTGGAGAATTTTGTGGGAGCTGATCATGTTTGTGTTATCATCTAGCATCTTTAATTTCAACATTACCGAAAAATACTGATTATGCTCAGGCACAGTATGATTTACCTTATGATTTGTGCCACCTTATGATTTTCCTTACCTTATGATTTGTGTTACCGTATGTTTTACCTTATGTTTGTGTCACCTTATTGGAAGGACCCATCAATAATATTTGGATAATACACAAAACTATAGCTAATCATTAACAAATTCTTTGATAAAGCATGATCATGTACAAATTTCAAACCTGGTCCAGCAAATATTCTCACTTTGAATAGTGTAAAAACTTTTGAGTGCTACTAACATGCACATAACCCTCTATAATATAATTTAAAAACATTCTTACCTGGATTTCATTGATATTGTGATAAAGCCTAAAGGAAACTTTTCATCATTGGTCCCCAACTAAATGTTTGTAATGTAACTTTTTTTTTTTGTATAGATCACTGGTATTAATAGTACACCGCATAGTTCTTCTCCAACAAAGAATCGTGCTAGAGGAAGAACTGATATAGCATGGGGACATTGTAGAGAGGTTTTAGAAGCTGGTAATAATGGAAATAAAAAAAAACTTGTTTGCTTATATTGTGGAAAGGCTTTCGGTGGAGGTGGTATTAATCGAGTCAAACAACACTTAGCGGGATTAAAAGGTGATGTAGATTCTTGTCGTAGAGTACCTCCTGATGTTAGATTTAAAATGAAAGAAAACTTAGACATCTTTGCTGCGAAGAAACGTAGAACTCAAGAAGTTCTTAATGAGTGCAACCCACATAGTTCTTATTATCGGGAACAAGAAGAGCAAATGTATAGAAATTTGGGTGATGATGATGTGTACGAGATCATCCCTCCTAGTTCTCAACAAAAGGATACAACTATTGAGAAAAGTCAAGGAAAAGGAATGGGAGCTAAACATTTGAAAGAACAAAAAGGAATTGGTTCTTACTTCATGCCAAGAACAGGACCTGGTAACCAACATACTATCAAAAGTGTTCTTCAGAGCAAAGAAGCTATAGAGAAATGTGACCTCACTATATCCAAGTGGATGATTGATTCGTGTATTCTTTTTAATGCTGTAAATTCTGTGTATTATCAACAAAGTATAGATGCCATAGCTAGTATGGGCCCTGGCTATAAAGGACCGAACTTTCACAGTCTTCGTGGTTATTTATTGGCTAAAAATGTTGAGGAGGTTCAGAAGTATGTTGAAAGCTATCGTTCAACGTGGAAAATGACTGGTTGCACAATTATGGCTGATGGTTGGACAGATCAATGTAAAAGAACTCTTATTAACTTTTTAGTTTATTGTCCAAAAGGATCAGTATTCTTAAAATCAGTAGATGCTTCAGATGAATCAAAAAGTGTTGACATGTTATACAAGTTATTTCGAGATGTTGTGTTATTTGTAGGTTCAGAATATGTGGTCCATATGGTGATGGACAATGCTACAAACTATGTTGTCGCTGGTAGGTTATTGGAGCGAGAGTTTCAAACATTATTTTGGTCTCCATGTGCAGCTCATTGCATTAATCTAATGTTTCATGATATTGGTAAGCTTGATGAAGTTAGTAATGTCGTATCTCAAGCATCAAAAATAACAAAATACATATACAACCATCGTTACCCATTGCATTTGATGAGGAAGTTTACTGGAAGAAAGGAAATACTTCGACCCGCTCCTACTCGTTTTGCTACTAACTTTATTGCTCTACAAAGCATATTGGCTCAAAAGGATCCATTAAGAGCAATGGTGACATCTAGAGAATGGGCTTTATCAGCATATGCAAAGGAAAGTAAAGGAAAACGATTTGTTGATGAAGTACTTGATTCTATGTTTTGGAAAGAGTGCTCTACTATTGTGCAACTTACTGAGCCTCTCGTTCGTGTTCTAAGGATTGTTGATAGTGATGAAAAGCCTTCGATGGGCTACTTGTATGAAGCTATTCATGTGGCAAAAAGTGAGATGGAGCGCAGATTTCAAAGAAGGAAGAATAGAGTGGCTCCTTATTTGCAAATTATTCAGAATCGATGGGATAGTCAATTGCGTAAAAATCTTCATGCCGCTGGCTATTGGTTGAACCCTTCTTTCCAATACAATAATCCTGATATGGAAAATCATAAACAAACAATATCAGAACTTTTAGATGTAATCGAGAGATATGCTTATGGTCAACCTGATTTAAGAAGCAAATTGACCAATGAAATGAGATTATTTAGGCAAGCACATGGTGACTTTGGACGTTTATCAGCACTAGCAGATTGTCATAAAATGGGTCCTGGTAAATTTTTATTCTCATGTTATGTACTTTGTTATGTTATATAATTCAAATTTTAGTTTATGTAACATATGTCTATTTTATTTTCTTTTTGTTTTGGTACAGATGAATGGTGGATGTGTTATGGTAGTAGTGCACCAAATCTACAAACACTTGCAATTCGAGTACTAAGTCAAACATGTAGTTCGTCAGGTTGTGAGAGAAATTAGAGTATGTTTGAACATATTCATTCTAAAAAGAGAAATAGACTCGAGCACCAAAGACTTAATGATCTTGTTTATGTGCACTACAATTTACGATTGCAACAACGGTAATGTTATTTAAATAAATCATTTCATCCTTTCGTGATTTTTTTTTCATTTTAAGATTTTGCTTCCTTTTACTAGAATTATATTTTGATTAATTATAAATTGGATAATAAACTTTGTTTAGGAATTATTTCAAAAGTCGAAATTATGATCCTATCGACTTCGAACGGTTTGGCGTTTATGGCAATTGGGTATTAGAGGAGGAGCCACCGAATATGGTAGATGATGAGTTGGAGACATTTCGTCGTGATTTGAGTGCATGCTCTATACAAAATGATAAAAACGATGGTAATTGTTTGATTGATGCAATTACTTTTTTTTTTCTTTTTATTAAAGTATATATGATGTAACGTTGAAATTTAAAACTATTTTCAGATAAATTACATTTTGATGATCTTGATCTTGATTGTGATGGAAATGATGACAATGGAAATGATAAAACAACGAAAATGAGGATTTTAGTATGACTGAGACTCCATCATTGGTGCAAGGCGAAGGAATTGAAGAATTTATGTCCGAGACCCCAACATGGATGCGCTCTAACTCTTCTTAATTGAGAAAATATTGACTAACTTCAAATAATTTATTTTGTTAACATGTTCTTTATCCACGTTTAACTTTTAGTTGATGGTTTTACTTTTGCAAGAATATTTTTAAAGCATATGAAGCTATCTTGTTAAACCTTGCCATATGAAGTAGTTTTTTTTTTTTTAATCATTGATTGTTGTTTTTATTGTTTAAAGTCCATATTTGACTATATATGATCCACAATTTGTGAAATTGGAATACAAATAGATATTTAATTAACAAAATAATATGAGGTTAATTTAGGTATTAGTAGAAAATGGGAAAAAAAATTTATTCAATGGAAATAGGTAATAATATTTTTAATAGGAATTGACCTGCCGGTTGAACCGCCGGGTCACCGGTTAAACCACTGACCCATTGACCCACTGCATTGTCCGGGTCGAGTTTGATAACTATGGAAGAAAGAATCGTTAGATGTAAGGCACGTAGCCTCATCTCTTGGTCGAGTTGTCATTTGATAAACATCAATCAATCATTCCATAGATGGGCAAAAATTTAGCGCTTCCCGACACAGTAATGTTCAACTTGACATTTTGACGCTTATCGCACAATCGTCTCATCAATCAATCAATAAGAATTTGATCTTGAGTAGATCTTTGTATAAAATATCTCTTAGTACGTTGGGATGAAGCATCGTGGCTTATGGTAGGAAATGTCGTAGCACCTGTACGACTTTGTCATCTAACAAATCACCTCGTCAATTCAAACTTATGTGATCATTGACAATTCTCTTTTTCTTTGTCAATTCAGACTTCAATGTAGTGACATGGCGAGTCATGTGGAGTGCGGGCTTGGCATCAGCCATGCGTTGAATGATCTGGAGCCTCATTAGGAAAGGCGTAATTGTTGACACATGAAAATTCAGCCCAAATCGAACGGCCTAAGGAATGAATCCCAATTGGAGGATCCCCAAATCAGATAACCCAAGGAACGAAGCCCAATCAGACAATTCAGGATGAAGGCCCAAATAGGAAGGCCCATGAACGAGGTAACACCATCGCCCAAGCTTGCAAGTCACCCAGGATCTGAGCGAATGGAGTGCCATGCAGTCGCCCAGGATCTGAGCGAATGAAGTGTCATGCAGTCGCCTAGAGCTGCTACTCTATTCTCGCCCAAACCTTCGAGTCGCCAAGGTCTTAGCAAACATGAAGTGTTATGGTTATCAAAAAGCGCAGTTATTAAGCAGCCCTATCACGTTCCACGATTCAAGGAATTCAATTGAAGACGGTTGAACGACAAAGAGTAATGGAAGCAGTTAGAAAAGACAGTTCCATAACAAGTTGGCCATTACGAGGAAAGTGGGCAGTTATAGAACGATCAAGCAGTTTTTAGGCGGTTGATCACAAAGAGATCATCCAGGGAGTATAAAAGGAAGAAAAGACATAGAGCAAAAGACCCCAAATTAAACACTCTCAAACAGAGAATATGTAACTTTCAATTCCTTAGTTTAGATTTAAACACTTCTTTTACAGTAACTCGTGTGCTTGCGCCCCTTAGAGGTATTCTGTTTTTACTCCCCAATTGTAAAGTCATCGCCAATAAAAAACGCCCATTTTTGGGACTTTGTCTCAAGAGGTTTGTCCCTTAAACAATCGTCTGATCTCTTTTTAATTGTTAGCGACTAACCCGCACGAAACAATTTGACATGCCCAGTGGGACAGTGGTGTTTGGTGTTGAAAATACAAAAGGTGAAACAATATGCCTCAGAGATCCGATAAGGAAGCAGCAAGTCAGGGAGGAGTCCAGTTTGTGATCGAGCGATATGAGGAGCAGCATGCCTCTCCACGAACAGATGGACAAAATTAGAGCAATAATAGTCGTTACGAACCAATGATAGAGTTGAGTCCTCAAACTATACGTGCACTACTTGGAGAACTCACACAAGATGTCGTTGAACAGGTAAATCTTCGAAATATTCATAATATGGAAAGATTTACCCAAAATGGAAATGCACATTATGACAACATGGTCAAACAACTAAACACTTTGAACGAAATAATGAATAAGTTAGTAGGCCAAATATGTCAACCGGTTCTGCCTGTTACAAACCACTTTCAAACTAGGACAATTGTGGGACATAATCCCTCAGTTTTAAATTCGAATCAAGGGATAGAACCACTTTCTGGTCCCTCTACTTCAAACCAAGGGGGTGGTGCAGTGCCAAATCAGAACAATGGTAGTGGTACGCCTAACTTGGGGGTAATCTAAATGTAAGAGATAATGTACTAAACAATGGACAGAATACCCCACGTGTTAATGAGGGAATAGATGTTTAGGCTAATGGTAATGGCCCAAATCATGATAACTTTGTTGCCAATCAAGGACCAAACGTCAGGCCTCATGCAAATCAACCGGTTAACCAACCTGTAGGAATTCCATATGACCCCAACGTCATGTTGAGGAATCAGACTAGGGAAATCGTACAGGATCAGATGGCTTTTGGGGTGCGTCCTGTCATTAGGCCGACTTACACAAAGTCATATCCTGATTGGGTAGACCAAGCATATCCATGGCCTAGAGGGTATAAAGTGCCAGAATTCTCACTGTTTATCGATTTAGGAGAGGTGTCTACTCTAGAGCACATAGGGCGATTCACATTGCAAAGTGGTGACGTAACTGATTACCATAAAATGATACTTTTTCCTAGTTCATTAACAGGAATAGCTTTCTCCTGATTCATAAACTTGCCAGCGAACTCTATTCAAACATGGCAACAATTGGAACAATTATTCCACGTTCAGTTTTATAAAACTGAGTCTGAAATTACTTTGGCTGATTTGGCGAATCTACGTCAAATGCCAAACGAATGGGCTGAAAGTTTTCTCCAAAGGTTCAAGACAGCAAGAAGCAAGTGTTTTGTACCTCTGCCCGAAAAAGAATTTGTCAAAATCGCTCAGGGTTGTTTGAGCTTTGATTTAAAAGAGAAATTCCAAGACAAGAAATTTCCTGACATTTTTCAGTTGAGTGCGAATGTGATTAGATATGAACGATTGATAAGAGAAGAAGAACAAATGAAAAATTCTAGTAAAGGAACTTATTACAAAGACCCAAATTTTGACGTTCATATTATCAGCGACGAGTCATATGATCAAGCCGAGATGTGTTTGACCGAATTGATCAAAGGAGACACGTATACTTATCCTATAATGGCTAAACCTAAACCATCGAGTAAGGATGAGCCCATGAAAGATGGAAACATAAAGGTTAGAACGTTCTCATTTGATGTAACCAAAGCTGACCTTATATTTGATAAATTATATTGGGATAAGCAGATAAAACTGAGCGTTAAGTATAAATTGCCAAACCCTGAACAAATTAAGGGTAAAAAATATTGTAAGTGGCATAATGCATGGTCACATTTGACTAACAATTGTTTGGTTTTTCGCCATGTATTGCATGATGCCATTGAATCAGGATGAATTACGTTCGACGATAAGAAGAAGATGGCAGTGGATGAAAATCCTTTTCCACAGCCACTTGGAGTGAACATGGTGACGTCTGATTTCAAAAACAAGTTGCCAAAATTCAAGTTGGTCATAGATGATGGAGAAGAGGACCCTGGACCACATCCCAATGTCTTCGAACAAATCAAGGGAAAGGAGCCAAAAAAGGACGAAGACGTCCTATGTGCAAGATGTAAAAGAGAAGTGAGTGGGAATACGGAGAAACCAGGGACATGGCAGCATCCCCATTGCCCTACTCTCCTCCCAAACGCTCAGCCTGGTAGAGGGCGAGGTACATCGTTCTACAAAGGACCGTCTTTCGGGAGGCAGTTCAGGCCAGTAGATAATGGGAGAACATTCAGGCCGCAACCTCGCCGGCCAAATGTATGGCATTCGTTCCAGTATAATGCAGGAAGTGCAATACCCTTCGATTAAATGACTAGAACCCAATAAAGACGTTTTCAATGAAACTATGGATGAATGATGGGGCAGCAACAGGGAGTGGCACATCCTAAAGTGCCTAAACTACTCAAGGTAGCTAATCAAAATGTTCTCAAAGATAATGAAGAGACCGATACAGATGAATCAATGAAAGAGTTGCCAGAAACTTCTTCTGGGAGATCAAAGTTTGGGCGAGACAGAACGAATGGAGAAGATCCAGATCAGCCCCTTACTATCAAGTTCGGTACGTTACCTCCTATCGTGGCTAATAATTACTTACTGGCCAATGAATTCAACAATAAAGAAAAAGAAGAAGAAGAAAGGGAGGACAACGAAGGAGAGGCTTGCGTGCTGGAATATGAAGAAGACCAGACTTTTAGAGAGGCCTACAATTACGAATAAGACGACGGGATGACAGACATCGAAGAAGAAATCGACCTAGAAGCAGAAAGAAGAAGGAGAGGAGTATCGCATAATACTCTGTTGAAGCAACTACATCGAGAGGGAGTTCGCGAAGTAGACTTGTTGGGAGAACCATCTGGGCGTTCTTTCGATTTCTACGTACTGTACGGGACGCCTGATAAGTATGTTATTACACACTTATTTAGCTCACAAACATGACTTAAATAATGGACAAAGTAGTTGAATTGTGACTTAATCTTGTTAAATTCATGCAATGTAGGTGTTTCTATGGAAAAGATGAAATTCAGAAGAAAAGAGCCGAAAAATGACCAAAACGGAACAAAGCGATAGTTCGGGGACCAAGTTGCAAATAATCCATGTATGAGACGGGAAATAGAATGAAGATTCAAGAGTGTTAGAGGTCAATTGGATGAGGAAAGGAGTCAAGAGGTGAAACATGGTCGAAGTATTATCAAGTTTAACTTTCAGGCGAAAAAGTTATGCTTGTGATTTTGAGTTTTTACTTGAGATCCATTTTTGGCATAGTAAACATCAGAATTTGAGGAAGCATATTTCTATCAAAAGTGTAAATA